TACCTTGGTTAAGGTGAAGTTTGATTGAGATTCTATGAGGAAATAGAATCAATGAAGAGATCACGTGCCACCCACCCACCCTGCATATGCAAGGAGTGTAATTTATAAATGTATGATTGGTAAAATTTCATTTACACAGATGTATGATGTATACATTTGTGTAAATGATGTAACAAAAAATTTTTTCGCTTTAAATCCTGAATCCGCACATGCGCAGTACAATCTCACGTGATCTCTTCATTGATTCTATTTCCTCATAGAATCTCAATCAAACTTCACCTTAACGAAGGTAAGTCTCGTTTAATTTTTTAATTATTGCTGAATAAAATTACTGATTAGTTGAAATGCGTTTTTTGTTCCCCACCCTGCCTATGGGTATTGAGTAAACAAACTAAGCAACTGCTAAGTGTATTGTTATGATGATCAATCATGCCTCTTTCAAAATTGTGAATGCCATTGCATCTGGCTTAAAAAACATGAATCAAATTCAACCACTGGAAAGTTGTTGCATAATGCTCAGGTGACCTATAAGGCCCATGGGCCTCTTGTTAAAAAATCTTCTTCTCAAGAACCACTGGGCCAGAAAAGATGAAACTCATGTGGAATCATCCTCAGGTAGTGTAGATCCAAGTTTGTCCAAATCATGACCCCCGGGGATAGGGCGGGGCCACAATGGCCGATCAAAGTTTTACATAGAAATATATAGGAAATTCTTTAAAAATCTTCCTCACAAGAATAGAAAAGGCATGAATGATCATATTTATATGGAAGCATCCTCAAGTAGTGTAGATTTAGATTTATTCAAATCATGACCCCTGGGGGTAGGGTGGGGCCACAATGGCCGATCAAAGTTTTGCATAGAAATATATAGGAAAATTCTTGAAAAATATTCTTCTCAAGAATAGCAAAGGCATGAATGATTATATTTTTATGGAAGCATCCTCAGGTAGTGTAGATTTAGATTTATTCAAATTATGACCCCTGGGGGTAGGGCGGGGCCACAATGGCCGATGAAAGTTTTACATAGAAATATATAGGAAAATTCTTTAAATCTGAAAATCTGCTTACACCGAAGGCAAAGAGTAACTTCGTATTTTCAAGAAGTTTTAACATTTTATGCCCCGGTAAATGAAGTTTTGGGATATATAGTTTTTGTTGTGTCTGTCCATCTGTCTGTCTGTCTCTCTGTCTGTCTGGCTGTCTCTGTGTCTGTCTGTCTGTCATTTTCTCTGCATAAAATTGAACCTTACCCATAACTTTTGATTTAGGGGAGCTATGACTTTCATATTTCACATGTGTATTCTTTGTGACAAGACCTTTCTTTGGATACCACCAAATTTGACATTTTGACCTTGACCTTGGAGTTTGACCCACTTTTACACAAAAATTCCAAACTTTTACTTTGGCCATATCTTTTAAACAATAGATACCGGGACATTTATCCTTCACTTATGCATTCTTTGTTGAAAGACCTTTCATTGGATACCAACAACCTTGACCTTTTGACTTTAACCTTGGAGATTTCCGTACTTGTGAAAAAACTTTATCCTACGCCATAACTTTTGAATGGTAAGGGATAGGGCTTTCATACTTCAAATATGTAATCCTTGTGAAAAGACCCTTTGTTGGATACCAAGAACTTTAACCCTTTGACCTTGACCTTTGAGTTTGACCTAATTTTAAAAAGCAATCCTTTCATTTGATAGCAAGACCTTTGACCTTGACCTTTGAGTTTGACCTACTTTTTCAAATTTTTTAACCTTGGCCATAACTTCTGAACTGTTAGGGCTAGGGCTTCCATGCTTTACATATTTATTTTTTTGTGGGAAGACCTTTCATTGGATACCAATGACCTTGACCTTGAAGATTTCCATACTTATGAAAAAACTTTAATTTTGGCCTAATTTCACATTCCACAATTGTATTTCCAGTGAGAATACCCTACTTGTACCAGTATATTAAATCAGCATTTAAGAAAAGTTTAATCTTTGCTATGTTGCCTTTCATTGGTTAAGAATTTAAAAGCAAAAATTCTGAAAGTACCTGCTTTAATTTTCACTAGCCTGTCGGGCTACTTCTGAAACATTTTTTACTAGCCCAGACTAATTTTTACTAGCCCAGCTCGGGCATCGGGCTAGTGAGTTTTCATGAAGACTGACAATTTATCAGAACAATTCTAAGGCCCTAGGGTCTCTCAATGTCAGGTTTGAAGAGTTTTAGTTTCTGGTTGAAGATATTCTTGAAGTATTTGATATCAAGTTGAATTCTATTGCATCATTAAATTTTACGCTAATTCATAAGAAATATTTCTAAATTTACTTATTCATAAATTGCATTATCTTATATGCTTTATCTTTTGTTGTTAGACATATACTCCTATTACAAAGGAGACAAAACAAGAAAGTTTCATGATCGAGCCTGTCAGATTGATACTCAGTTGGTACGTGGAGTGACACCAGAAGGCTCTCAGGTAAGATATTGGTTTTTTTGCCCCCCTCTGAAGAAGGAAGGGCATATTGCTTAACTGCTCCTGCCTGTTGGTCAGTCTGTCAGTCCATAAAGTTTCCGTTCATTTTCTTTGTTAAGTTGCAAATACTGAAATGAAATTTTCTTTATAGATTTACGGTCAAATCTGTTTTGGGTATGATCGAGCAATTTTTGACAGAGTAATGCTGCAATTTTTAGCTTGCTTGAGCTAAAGGCTTAAGTGAGTTTTTCTGATCAAAATTTGTCCGTTGTCTGTTGTCATTTTGGTCGTTGTCGTTTTTGTAAACTAATTTTCACATTTTCTTCTTCTCCAAAACTACTGGACCAATTTCAGCCATACTTCGCATAGAGTATCCTTCACTTCCTGATGAAAAAAAGTGCCAAGAATCTCGAAATTTACCAATAATGTTTAATAATTACTGATACTCGCTGATAAATACTGATATTTACTGTTGTTGCTGATAATTTTAGTTGTTTCTGATAAATACTAAGCAATTATGGTCTCTTTTTGTGTTGAAAATGGTTTGCTATTCACCAGACAAAAAATCAGTATTGACCAAGGTGAAGGGGAGGTCAAACTTGATATTTTTCTGGTGAAGAACAAATCATATTCAACACCAAAAGAGCTCATTACTGTTTTGTTAAATAGCCTGAATTTAAATAAGTAAGAAATTGAAGGCTGCATAACCACACCATTTTTAGCTCACCTCGACGAAGTCGAGATGAGCTTATGCTATACCCCCGGCATTGGCGTCGGCGTCCCAGGTTAAAGTTTTAGGAGCAAGTCCATTCCCAAGTAACTATAAGCCCTACCTGAACCAAACTTGCATGGATGATGCATCTAAGGATCGACACTACCAGACTTGCTTTGTATGCTGGATCTGACCTACATTTCCTAGATGAGTGACCAGGTTAAAGTTTTTGGAGCACGTCCATTCCCAAGTAACTATAAGCCCTACCTGGACCAAACTTGCATGGATGATGCATCTAAGGATGGACACTACCAGACTTGCTTCGGATGCTGGATCTGACCTACATTTTCCAGATGTGTGACCAGGTTAAAGTATTTGGATCATGTCCATTCCCAAGTAACTATACGCCCTACCCATACCAAACTTGCATGGATGATGCATCTAAGGATCGACACTACCAGACTTGCTTCGGATGCTTGATCTGACCTACATTTTTCAGATGAGTGACCAGGTTAAAGTTTTTGGAGCAGGTCCATTCCCAAGTAACTATAAGCCCTACTACGACCAAACTTGCCTGGATGATGCATCTAAGGATCGACACTACCAGACTTGCTTCGGATGCTGGATCTGACCTACATTTTCCAGATGAGTGGCCAGGTTAAATTTTTTGGAGCAGGTCCATTCCCAAGTAACTATAAGCCCTACCTGGACCAAACTTGCATGGATGATTCATCTAAGGATGGACACTACCAGACTTGCTTCGGATGCTGGATCTGACCTACATTTTTATTCCCAAGGAACTATAAGACCTACCCGAACCAAACTTGCATTGATGATGCATCTAGGGATAGACACTACCAGACTTGTTTCGGATGCTGGATCTGACCTACATATTCATTCCCTAGAAACTATAAGACCTTACTGAACCAAACTTGCATGGATGATGCACCTAGGGTTGGACACTACCAGACTTGCTTCGGATGCTGGATCTGACCTACATTTTCATTCCCAAGTAACTATAAGCCCTACCTGAACCAAACTTGCATGGATGATGCATCTAGGGATGGACACTACCAGACTTGCTTGGGATGCTGGATCTGACCTACATTTTCATTCCCAAGTAACTTTAAGCCCTACCTGAACCAAACTTTCATGGATGATGCATCTAGGGATGGACACTACCAGACTTGCTTCAGATGCTGGATCTGACCTACATTTTCATTCCCAAGTAACTATACGCCCTACCTGAACTTAACTTGCATAGATGATGCATCTAGGGATGGACACTACCAGACTTGCTTCAGATGCTGGATCTGACCTACATTTTCCAGATTAGTGACCAGGGTATTCCCAAAAAACTGTAAGCCCTACTTGAACCAAACTTGCATGGATGATGCATCTAGGGATGGACACTACCAGACTTGCTTCAGATTATTTTCATTCCCAAGTAACTGTAAGCCCTACCTGAACCAAACTTGCATGGATGATGCATCTATGGATGGACACTACCAGACTTGCTTCGCATTCTGAATCTGACTTATATTTTCCAAACAAGAGACCAGGTTATAGTTTTGGGAATAGATTAATCCAAATGAACTTGAAGTCCTTGATACCTGCATTATTAACAAAGTTATGAATATCTGTTTACACTATACATGTTTTTCATGCTACATGCGTAGAAATATGTATATGCCCTGTAAGGGGTTAAACACAACTTGCAAGAACATTGTTGTTGGTATAAATACTAGATATTAAGAAAATATGGTGTGAGATTTGCATTACTTACACTAATAACATTCGTCGAGGTGAGGTTCGTAATCTTTGATTACCTATGTTTAGCTCATCTGGGTAAACTCAGGTGACCTATTGCTATCTGTTTTCATCTGTCATCATGCATAATGTGCGTCGTGTGTTAATATTTGAACATTTTCAGCTTCTTCAGGGTTTGTCACTAGCTTTTTTACCTTGGTGGACCGCAGGTCCACTCATCAAAAATTATTGGTGGACCTTCTCAAAATCTAGTGGACCTTCAGAAATGTTTGAATAAATGAATGAATCATTACACAAGGCTTGAAACTAACGATTCCAGTCAGACTTATAAAGGATAAGTTTAACCATTCAACAGAAATAAATCCATTAGTCAGGATTTTTACAGCAATACTTTTTAAAAAAGTATAAATCTACAAATCAAAAAACATTTTTGTATCATTAAATTACAATAGTAAAAACCTGCATTTATTTTGCTTTCAAATGTATATGAAATTTAAAATAAGTTGTTCATAAAAACAAGTTAATTTTTTATGGCTAAAACATTTTTTACAGCAATGCAAAACTGAATAAAGTACATAAATATGTATTTAATATTTATTTTTTCAATTTATTATTTATTCAGATAAATAGTGAATATTTTGTTTCTTTATGTGATATAATGTATTTCAAGGGAAAAAAAACAGAAATTGCAGATTCCGTGTTTATAAAATGTATATAAATCAAGGCTGTTTGAAAATCTATAAACAATGCATAAATTAATGCAGCTGTCAATCAATTCTAATTATCTCCAAACCTGGTCAACAGCGTGCATTCAGGCGTGAAGCAATTTCCTGTTACCAAGTGTAATTTTCACACCTTTCTGTGCATTACCCGCACCTCAGATCTCCATATATTTTCCATATTTAAAATGTGGAAAAAATGCGGACGGGAGTATTTGGACTAATTTTCCGCATTCATTCCAGATTTTCTCCGTATTCAAAATATGGAGAAAATATGGATGGAAGTATTGGTTTCCTTTTCCGTATTCTCTCCTAAAACACATTTTATATCCGCATTTCCATATATAAAAAATATGGAGGTATTTACTTGGTTGATAAAATGCGGAAATACAGAAATCTGGAGAAAATACGGAGTTAATCACATGGTTATAAAATGGCTTAAAACTGCTACATGATGCATACATACATAAATATTTACAAAACCATCAACAATGTGCAAAATGATATACAATTTATTATACCATTATGAGAAAAACATTTAAATGAATGAAAAATTTACACATTAGGCCATCCTTAAAAAATTGTTTATTTGCGGTAAAAATGAAGGGCCATGTCCCCTCACCAAAATCCACCCGACAAATTTTTTTTATAGGTTCAAAAATCTTTTTTTTTTTTTTACGTATCCATTTTCTGTTTTTATCCAATTGATATTTTTTTACGTCTCCATTGCACCTATGCCGTTTTTATCCGATTGATTTTTGATTACGCCTCGGTTACAATGACGCTTTATCTTTCCCCCAAGTAATATTAAAACGTCTTTGTGATTTACAAATTTAGAGATGGTTGCTTTGAAATATTGACTCTATAGTTCAGTCAGTTACAGTGAAAAAATATTTTAATTACTAGTCCAAAATTTTCTGCGTCAGTTCCACCTTACCAGGCTTACAGATTATGATGTTTACGGATGGCCACAGAATTGGTGGCAATCAAATTTTTACGTGGGATGATGGCGGATTTGCAGCTAATTAATAAACTATTAAAATCTTAAACCTCATATATATCACCCCCCCGAAACACTAGATTAGTGTGGAGTCAGTTATTTGAGGTACGTGGCTGATGAGAGTCACTTTTTTTGAAAAAGTTTGCCTAAAAAGAACTGATGTGTTCTGATATTTGAGCAAAAGACTGAATTCATTTAGAATGCTTTAATTTTCTTGTTTGATTAGTAAGGTGAAATCTGAGACATAGTTTATACCTCTATGTAAGCTTCATTTCTGACATTTTGTCTCAAAAAAAAAAAAAAAAAAAAAAAAAAAGCCTCCCTACCTACTCACACCTAAAATGATGAGGCGCGTTACTGCAAAAAATAAATTTTTTAAGGATGGCCTTATGTACATGAGCAATGTATTGGATCTTATATCTTTGACAAACAAACAGAGTAGCATGTATGGAAAAAGTTTGTTCTTATTAAGCCACAAATTCATCATGAAAAAAATAAGAATGTGGCATTATATATATATATATATAATTAAATGGAAATCTATTTTCTATAAAAGCAAAAGTGGTAGTGAAAAGTTCAACACTTTTAGATATTGGGGGAAAAAATAACAATTGACATAGCTAGCATTGAATATTTACCAAAAAAAAGCAATTTTATAGACATTTTTTATCAATCTGGATCACATTTGCCATTTTCTACCTGCATTTCTGATTCATATTTCTCACAATATTCAATTTATATCTCAGGTCTGTGCTTTACACCCATCTGTCCAATAAAAATTTTCTTCATTTTTTGTAATTTG